TAATAATTTTTACTTTGACCTGACCTGTGACGTCATCGGTGACCTCGAGGTCAATGAAATTAGGTTTCGTTCGACAGTTTTTCCGGGGCTATCAGACGCCGTTTGAATTTTGACGATCGGCCCAGTAGTTTCGGAGTTAGGAGGGGGGGCTATGAATAGCCCCCCCCCCCCCAGTAGGGCGTGTTATACGCAGACCCCAGTGGGGCGCGGGTTAAGGTCGTCCTTTATACTACGCCGGCCGAGGACATCCTTATACCTTTAACCTTAGTGCCACTATATGGGACAGTCTCACGCCTCATCCATCTGGCACTCATGCAGCCACCCATGTCCACAAGTAGGGGCTGCGCGCACTATAGTTAGACATCGAATTTAAGGTGATTTGTGGAGAAAAAAAATCCAGAACGTATGTCATGACTCGCCTCTGACTGCAGTCGTTGCTAGTATGACAATCAGTTGGGATCTCATGGTGGATCTTATGGTCTGAAATGTTCAAGTCTTTCCTGGATTCCAATTTCGGCAATAAGTCGCAGCGTGAATCCTTCATACTACGTGCGGTCTTAGATTCTAAGCACGGCCACTCCGGTCGACCACAGGCTGCAGCCCACAGGTCACTTTGGATCAGTGAGTGAACCTGTATATTTTTTTGCAAAGAATAAAAATGTGCTCATCGAGCAATGTATGTTTTACCGTTTCGAATTTGCATGGATGCGTTTTTTTTTTTTTAATAAAATGTCCGTAGCCTGAGCTGAGCTCGTTTCCTATATCGTGCTAAATATTCATCAAGATCAAGGATTTTTGATAAAACAACACCGGGCTGCAAATTGCATTAGTTGGATTTTATGACAAATCAGCGAAACCTAGTTTTCATACTCGTATTTTGCAGCACCTAGTAAATCATGCATGAACATGACGTTACATTTTAGACTGACGCCCCTGTCGCGAGCTGACAATGGCGCCCCTCTCAAGGGAAAAAGTCGCCCCCTCGAGCACCATGGCCCCCCTTTCGCTGATTTCTGGCTACGCCACTGTGTGTAGCTAGCGAAGTTGTTCAGCACACAAGCTAAAAGCATCTCCCGACATTGTTCCCAATGTAGAAACTGCACACGGCTCACGGCACCGCTCTGCACCACCGTGCTGATAGTGCAGCTGACCCCCCCCCCCTACACTACCCCCCCCCCTCGGCGGACAGTGGAGCGGACCATGAGTCAGCTCCGCCACTGGGGAGCGGGGTCCGAGGCTGGTCACGGTCCGCAGACTCGACCCTTTGCCGTTTATATACACTACCGATAGTATATTTGAGAGGTGCGGCCAAACCGGGGCCGAGTATTGCCCGCGCCGGATCAGCTGGCTATCCGACAGATCACCAAGGCCGATTTGGCAGTTAATTCTACGGCCGATCAGCGCCTCCAGACACTCCAGGGTGACGCAGAAGCTATGCCGTTCCTACTGTGACGCCACTAGTGTGACGTCACACTTACCACACTAGTGACGTCACTAGTGATGTGTCCAAGACTGGCGGACGGGTACGATACTCGGTCAGACGCTTCTGCCAACGACCACTGACAAACAGTTGCCCGATGACCGCAGTCGGACACCAGTCCATACTGCTTCGGACCGCTCCAACCCACCAGCCGCTGGGGGCGTAAAGTTACCCCCTTACGTTTTGGGTCATATCACCGGAACCTGATAAGATGTGAACTTGAAACTTCGTGTAGCTTCAAATGAATACCGAGGCCAAACTTGAGAAAAAGTTAGGTGGTTGGCTCTGAAGATAGCACCAGAGAGACGTCATAAGCTTTGGTCGTTTTCCGATATGGAGCGTGTCTGGTGTTACTGAGCATGACACGCAACGGTAAACGTACTAAACAGCACCTGCTGTCATCCTGGCACATCTAGTACACTTACAACTATACTTCCTGACCATTCATCAGTCCTATATATTCACCATTCGGCCCCATACCTATATCGGATACATCGTTGGTAAACTAAGAAACACCGATATATAATTTGACTGATGACGTCAGTGTGACGTCATTTCAAATGGAATCGACACCAAATTAGCGAACACGACTTCGAATAGCTGTACAGGAATATGTGTGCAAAGCTTTGCTTCTACGGGTATATCTCTTCGCATTGGGACGCTATCGTCAAAGAACCCCCCCCCCCCCCGCCGCCCTCTTCTCTCTCGGCCGGCGGGTCGGGCGCGGAGACCGTGAGGCCGCCGGGCTAGATTACTGCGTGCCAAGTTTGTGGTGTCACAGCCAGTGTCCACAGCCGCCAGATATCAGACACAAAGTGCCGCCATAAAACAGCACATGCTGCTGACCTTTTGAGGCAGCTGTTGTAAACAAACAACCGTTTATCGATCGCCAGTCACGCATTATTGGCGACTCGAATCCGGTGTTGTGATGACGTCACGGTGGCTCTGGGGAGCGGCTGCCGGGCCCACTCTGTTGGGCTGAGCCGCTGGGCCGCCGCTCGGGTGCCGGCCCGGCGCCGATCACCGCCGCCGAGCCGCGCTACCGCCGTCTGGTCAGCCGTGTCGCGTGCGACGCGTCGATACCGTCGAGAGGGGGCGGCGGGCCCGGGGGGGGGGGGAGAGACGGGACACCGCGCGACGGCAAGGTACCGCCGTGTGCGGCAACGGGGGTGGGGGTCTAAGACCAGACATGAGCCGACCCACCGACCTCTACAGTGACCTGACCCGGACCCATCGACCTCTACAGTGACCTGACCCGGACCCACCGACCTTCACAGTGATCTGACCCGGACCCAACGGCGCCGTTTGCAAACTGCTCCGTTCCCGACCAGATTGCTGTTCCGCCCCGTCCCCCCTCCCCGGGCCATCGCCAGTTTCACCACACCACCCTGCCTGCGGCTCTGGGACTCGGCGGTGTTAACCCGGCTATCTGCCGTCCTTCCTGTCAGCCGCAGCTGCGGCGGCGCGGTCACCCTTCCTGTGTGGTCCTCGGCGGTTGGTAGCAGCCCGCTATCGGTGGAGCCCGTCCGTCCCGGTGTTGTGACTCTGTCCTGGTGAGACAGTGACCGGCCGACTCACGGTGTGTCCCCGGTATACTGAACGGGCATCCCCATAGACAGACTGACCGGCTACAGGCACAGTCTCACGGTGGAAATGACTGTTTGTGGCATGTGGTGATCCCCCTACCTCTGAATACACCGCCGGCTGACCGGGGTCGATCGGAGACGGCTGACCTGTCAATGTCGGCTGGAGCCGGCCCGGCTGACCTGTCAATGTCGGCTGGACGGCCCGGCTGACCTGTCAATGTCGGCTGGAGAAGTCCCGGCTGACCTGTCAATGTCGGCTGGAGCCGGCCCGGCTGACCTGTCAATGTCGGCTGGAGCCGGCCCGGCTGACCTGTCAATGTCGGCTGGATGGCCCGGCTCACCGGACCGATAACAGCCGTTTTCACGACGGGCTATCCGGCGAATGCACCTAATTTGACTTGATCTGCACCTAATCTCTTTTACATCAAATATCTTCATTTTATGAATTTATTTCAGTGTTTTAATCGATGATGCACTCTGATATGACAAAAATGGCATATAGGTATGCAATTAGTGCAACCCTAGCTGATAGCTACTAAGAGACACACTGAGCCTATTTTGACCAAATCTGCACCTGATCGGCACCAGATGTGCACCAAATGTGTACCAGATGGCCGTCGTGAAAACGGCTAATATATTTTTGCTCGTCAAACTCCCCCACTTACTCCAGTACCTTGTAGCTTCAATTGCCTTTTGCCGTCGCTTCAAACACACTACGCATATCCCAAGGGTGTGTTCAGAAGCTGCGCTGTGCTGTCACTAGTGCGCAGCATTTGGCTTAGCGTACTAGTGAAACTTTGTGTCTCTGGAGACAGCAGTAAGGTCTAGTTTAGTGGCAAACGTCACAGAGAATCGTCTCTATGGAAATTCCGGCCGGCTCTGAGTTATCACCTTCTTGCCATGTTTTGTCCCCTGTGTCATTGAAATATTTATGTGCATAAGAAACCAACGAGACGAATTTCGAAGCAACAATGAGAAATGAGAATGGATACGGTAGAAGTTGTTGCGTCTCGGACGGCCTTCCTTTTTGGAGAGACTCTGTGTCGGGGGCAGCGGCTGGAGAGGGGGCGACATGTGACGTCACACCTCTGTGACGTCACTGTGACGTCACACACACACACACACGTCCCAGTGACGTCACCACAGCCGTCACCAGTGGGCACCGCGCGCCGTCACCAATCGGCGCCATCTTTGACTCAGCCATCCCCACCACCGACTCGCTCCTACTCAGGGTGTGACTCGGAGTCAGAGGGACTCGGTTGACTCACCCATCACTCGGCTGACTCCGGGTGACTCCTCAGGACACGTGATGAGTCCGTTGACTCCGGGTCACTCTGACGACTCTGTTGACTCCCAATGACTCTTCAGAGCATGTTGGCTCGTATTCGTACTCGTCCACTCGTACTCGTTCGTCACCCGAGGACCATATACAGTTATCCTTCACATATACACAGTGTATTCAAGATCAGTATAGGCTGCAGTGTCTGACCAGTGTAGGCCACGCCGATCAGAATGGGCAGCTGGCCCTCAGCTCGGCTGCTCTCGGGTCCGTTCTCACGTCTGTAAGGCCGCCGTCGGACCCGTCGGACACACACCGCTGACCGTCGGCTGACCGGCCGAGGCCTCTCTGAGCTGCTGCTGACCGCCGCGGGGCCCGTCCCCTCTCAGCCCTCGTGGTACGGACCGGTCACGGGCCGGCGGGCAGGAGACACCCGCACAGCCGGCCAGCCGTGACACAGGGGCGGGCGGCGCGGCGCACCGACCGCCGGACACCGAGCGACGGACGGCCTAGCCGGGATATACGTATAAACAGCGTCTTAACCCGCTAACAGAGCTCATTTTCACTGCCAGGACTCTATTATAGACTCTGGCTGACTTCGCTGACTCTGGAGGACTCCTCGACACCTATGTTCACTCCCATGAAATCCGTTGACTCTGGATGACTCAGTAGACTCGTCGTGAGTCAATGTCGGTACGGGCCGGAGCTGTAACAAACAACAAACACAACGGAGTCACAACAAACACACAACAAACACCATAGATGATATGTGAGACACACACACTACACAGCACACGGAGTCGCCATAAATAGTAAACAACATCGGCGTGACATACAACACAGACTGGTTTATCGTCAATATATATTGCACCACGGTCCACTGTGCACTGTCCATTACTTATCACTGTACCGGCCATCTGACAATGTGTGTAGTAGACACCACCAGAAGAGGGGGACCCGGCCCCCGCCGAAGTTAGTTGGTAGCACTGCTGCTCCACGGCGTACATTTCCTACCAGCCCATAGGGTTTACATGTTAAATGGCCTGTTTTCGGCGAGCGATATCTCGGTCAACTGTGGTATGACAGTTTGACGTTTGTGAAAAGCGATAATGTGAACACATATATATTGCACAAACCGGTTTCGATATCACTTCATCGCTTTTCACACACATCTCGGTCAACCTTTGAAGGAATCAATGGTTCTTAGTCTCACATGATAGATCAATGAATTTTCTTTCGACAATTCCTCTACCATTTTTCACGAAACCCAGCCGTTCTTCTACGGCGTACAGGGTAAAGATTTCTCTGCACGCCAGCACCCGCGATCCGCCTCTCCGATCGTCGGCGCGCGGTTCTCGGTAGCGCAGTCGGTAGCGTATCGGGCTACGGATCCGAGGGTCGTGGGTTCGAATCCTGGGAGCGCCGGTTGATTTTGGCTATAATTGAATGATGTACATTCTTGAATGTTTGCATAATCAATTATTAATAGCTAATTGAATGTATCTGCCCACTAATCGGCCCCTAAAACCTGTTATTTAAGAAATTTAAGAAATGAATGTCACGTGCGCGTCACGACTGCCAACCACAAGCGCTACCATATTCTAGTTTGAACTAACTTTTTGCTAGTCCCGACCACATATAGTAGGTTTTCTAGTAGTTATACTAGAAATTCCTACCAAAGTTCGTCCTACCCTTCACTCAATATACCCTGGGGGGACCCACCTGTGAGGTCTGGGTAGAGCAACAGGAGCAGCGGGCAGAGGAGGGGAGCACAGAGCCGCAGACAGAGCAGGTCAGCGACACTAGCGCCGCCTACCGGTCTGGTCGGGAACCTGTGGTTGTCGAGTACACCGCATGGAGAGGAGACTAGGACGAGAGGTTAGTGATCTCCTGAATACCACCCCCACTGGCGGATACAGTCGCCACCACGACCAAGATGATGCTGTCGGAGAGCCCGTGCGTCCTCTTGACACTGCAGCAGAGCCGACACCTGACCACGTCGTCATTAGAAGCGGAAACAGCGGTACAGGTGACGTCACATGCCAGGTTCCTGTAACACACTCAAATCTGGTGAATAATACAGTGCAATACTTACGTGTGGCTCTGTGTGGCTATTAGCATGACCCGCAATCCGCCACGTGGAGGCTGCCACATCGGACTGCGTCTCTATTATCGCCCGAGACCCCTCAGGTAGTGCAGAGCCCACCATGTCCTGAGGGAAGACACGGCGGCCATCTGGCCCCGAGTAGCACTCGGTGTGTGCTACTCGCAGCCGATTGGTGGCGGCACAAACGGCCGTTGGGTGAGACAGCTCTCCAAGCACGGCGGAGGCAGGCTTGTATAGCACTCATCTGTCGTGGATGGCCTACACCAGCTGATCGTGATGGCTGAAAATATACCGGTGGGTCAGTGCACTGCCGTACAACGACTGGCGTTTTATCATATATTTTTCCATAATATGTCATTGAATAGATTGGTTTACATTCTGATAAATCATAATGTATGCTCGAGCTGGGAAGGTCACCCAAGCCAGCTCCGATAACATGTGCACATGTCAGTTTTCCATTTGTCGGCCCACGTACATCTGTCTGCCCGTGGCTGAACACTGGCTCCTTCAGAAAGACGGACACCCGACCGAGCGTCTGTCCCCGGGCTCTGGTCACCGTCATGGAGACAGCTGGCCGCGCGGGGAGCTGGCGACGCCACCAGCGGAAGGGAAACGCGTCATCCGGGGACTGGTAATGTAATAATTATGAGACTGGTGTCTTTTGTGAATGCTGCTAACTACAAATCGCCTCGTATCAAGTATATTCACAAACGTTGGAACATGAACAGGTATGCATCATGCAAAAAACGTCCCCCACACTAACCTGTCTCGGGAGGCCTCTGATCCTGTGACGGGCGAGTGTGCGGCAGCTGAAATGCCGGACTGCCGGATTGGCTCCGGCGGTCGACGGGTCAGCTGCGCCAGAGCCGCACACCCGCCTCCGTCAACCTGCCGGTGTAGTAAATGGACAGGTGATCATTCAAGATGATCAGAATGGTGTTTTTAGATTCAGGTAGTCAAAATTATTTAGAATGAACTTAACCCTCGCCGGACCTATTGGTTTTCTACATACGCGCCGGCCGAGGGGGGGGGGGGCGGGTACGACCCCCCCCCCTCGCCGTTTCGCCCCTGGTGGAGCTAGCGCGTCGCGGAAAAAACGAGCGTGTGCGCCGTTACGAGACGCAGAGATTGGTACCCGATTTTAAGGTCCTAGGTCAACCGGTGACCTCTGAGGTCAGGTCAAGTGCCCCAAGGTACGGTTCAGTTTTTGGTGAATTACTTTGCAAAAAAACGGCCGCAGAGCCGCGATTTTGGCAGCATCGTGTTCGCCTCACTCAGGCGCGTCGAATGCTGTACTTTTTGTTCGGGTCAGGTCAACTTGGGGTGTTGACCTCAGGTCAAGGTCAGGTCAGCACCCTAAGGGCACGAAGTTGGTCGAAAGGGGTCATGTCGCATATCATTCGATTCGGCAGGTCTTCCTGAGTCCATTGGTGGCTTTCCCGACTCGCTAGCTCAATTTGATCAAGAGTTATTGACGAAAAACTAATATGACCTTGATGACGTCATAAATGACGTCACGCAAGGTCAACATTGCAAAAGTGACGCATCTAACCTTGCAAGGAGTGCATCAAATCACGATTCTGTGTGCTTGAGATAGTTGGAGATCGTTCCCGGCGCCAGAATAGCAGTTTTCATTTTTCCCCATTGACTTACAATGGTGAGGTCACGAAAATGACCTAACCTCATATGACCTTTAGGAAAATCCGAGATATACAAGTTGTGAGACTCATAATGGATACTAGATCCTGCAAGTTTCATTTCCCTGTGACATCTCCTCTGGCATTGAGGGCGTTGCGAAGTTGCGACATCTGAAGACCGTGCAGAGGTTCACTTATGACGTCATAGGTCAGTGACCTGACCTGACCCGAAAATGCGGTTGGTGTCAAAAGATCCGGCTTGAATCAAAGGTCAGGTATGCTAAGTTTCAGCTCTCTATCGCCAGCGTGTTCGGAGCTATCGCGAAAAAACCCTATGGGTGGGCGGCACCCGCCCCCTCCCTCGGCCGGCGAGGGTTAAAGGGACCCTCCCACCTTCAAAAAAGTTAATGAATTGGCATGAAAGTGATGTCGCTCGGTTCAGAAAGAGCAAAAACGAATATCTACCAAATTTCATCGAAAAATATTCACCGGTTTTCAAGATATTAGACTTTTACTTTTGTTTACTTTTTGGGATCTCCGCTGTTCCTAGCGACTTTATTTGAAAGTGCGGTATTTGTTGCGCGCAAAGCAGCATATACCACCGCGTGCTACAAAACGTTTAACCCGCGCCCTGGTGTGGGTCTGAGCCACCTTCGCCCTGGTGGGGGGGGGGCCAAAATGACCCCCCCCGTCTAACTCGAAAACGAAGAGGGCTAGGAAGACGCGGAAAAAAGCAAACGAAAGCCCATAACAAGTACGTTCGAAAGTATTTCGGTCATTTTTTCGCTAAGGTCAATATTGAGGTCGCTAGAGGTCATCATAGGTCAAATTTCAGTGTTTTCGGTGTTGCCGGACATATTCCGCTGTAGCTCGGAAACTAGAAGAGCTAGAGAGCCGCGGAAAAAAGCAATCGATAGCTCTTTTCAAGCTCTTTCGCCAAGGTTCGTCAGATTTGACCTCAGCTCAACGGTTTGGCCTACAGAGGTCATGCAAGGTCAACTTGGCAAATTTCTTTGAAAATGTTTTTAACTATAGCATGCATTCACGAGAAAATAGAGAAACGATTCATGCACCATCGTGCTTGGCTCGTCGAGACGCGTCGAATGATATATAGTTTGACCTCGAAAGGTCATTTTGAAAATTTGACCTCAGGTCAAGGTCATGACCTTACCGAAATAGGTCATGCTGCATATCATTCGATCCGCATTGACGAGACAAACACGATAAACGTCGAACGGAGTCTCTATCTCTATTCAATAACAAGTAAGTGCAGAAAAACCGCTGGTGACCTCTGGTGACCAGGGAGATGACCTAGCGTGACCTCAGCGAGGTCACAAGCAAATGGTTTCACATGGGCTGTGATTTGCTGACCCAAGACACTTCAATAACGAAATATAGGAACAATCACGCCCGATTTAGCTGAAAAACAACTACTTTTCGATTCTCCCATTGACTTATAATGGGGAGCAGCGATGACCTGACCTGACCTTAGGTCACATTTATAAAAAATCCGAGATAGCCATTTTGTAGAGCTGGGTGACATCTTCAAGTACTGTAAATCTTACATCGATCGGATAAAAGCTGTGCCTTTGAGAGAGCTTTGAACTTTTTTAGAGGTGGTGTCAGTTTTGGTGACCTTGTGACCTGACCTGACCTGACCCGAACCCCCCAAAAAAGGACATGATGTAAAAATGTTGAATAAACAGCTATACAAAGTTTCAGGGCGCTAACTCAAGTGGTTTCTGAGTTATCGCTGAAAAACCACAGGGGGGGGCCAAAATGGCCCCCCCCCCACCAGGGCGAAGGTTAAGTCAAACATTTAAAAATCGTTAGATATCTGCACTGACGTCACACATTCAGAGGGGTATTCCTATGCATTAGCCCCTCTGAATCAAAATGCTGCAATTTTGAAATTCAATATTTCCGATTTAAGGCATTTCTCGATGTTGCGAGTGTCGAAACCGGTAATTGTGAGCCAGGGACCCCATTTTGGCTATCTCAACTCAAATCTAATGTTAAGGTGGGAGGGTCCCTTTAAGGTGGACTTATTAACCCGCGCCCGGCTGGGGGTCCTGGATTTCCACGCCCTGCTGGGGGGGGGTTGAACACCCCCCCCTTCTAACTCGGCTCCTGGGCCACGTAGCGATACGCGGAAGGCGGCGTTCGAAAAAGCGTCAAAAATGATGACGAAATCACTTCGGTCAATTTTTTAATCAGGCCAAAGGTCAGGTCACCAGAGGTCATTGAAGGCAAAATTTCGCCGATTCCCAGGTCGAATGTCGACAACTTCCAAGAAGCCAACGCATAACTCGGGAACAAAAAGAGCTACAGCGCCGCGAAAAAGCGCATTCGATAGCCCTATTAACGCCCTTTCTTGAAATTCTCTCAGATTTGACCTAACGTCAACAATTTTGCCTGCAGGGGGCAAAAACTGCAAAAATAGCCGATTTTTTTCGGAAACAGTTTTTCTGCAATAACTTTTGACCCAAGCCTTGTACGAGCTTACTTTTACCGGCATCGTGTTCCTCTCGTCAAGACGCATCGAATGAACTATAACTTGACCTTAACCCACGAGCCGCTGGGGGGGCATAAAGTTGCCCCCCTTTACGTTTTGTGAAATATCTCCGAAACCTGATGAGCTACGAACGTGAAACTTGGCATAGCTTCAAATGAATACCTAGGCAATGTTTGAGGAAAGTTTGGTGGTTGTAGCACCTAAGATGACGTCACAGTGACGTCATAAAGTTTTGTCGTTTTCCGACATGGACCGTTTCTGATGACGCTGAGCATGAAACTCGTCTGTAAATGAACTAAACAGCACCTGCTGTCATCCTAAAACATCTTACTACACTTCCATCTAGTTTCTGACCAATAATCGGCCCTTTATATTCGGTCCCATATATGTGATGTATCGTTAGGAATATCAGAGTCGCAAATCTATAATTTCACTTATGACGTCACTGTGACGTCATTTCAAATGGGATCGACACCAAATTTGGACACAACCTCGGCTAGGTATTCAGGAAGATGTGTGCAAAGTTTCGCTTCTCTATCTCTTCGCGTTGCGACGATATCGTCGCAGAAGTAAAGGGGGGGGGCAACTTTATGCCCCCCCCCCAGCGGCCGGCGGGTGGCGCGGAGGCCCAGCGGCCGCCGGGTTAAAAGGTCAACTTAAAAATTTGACCTCAGGTCAAGGTCATGACCTGACCGGAAAGGGTCATGTTGCATATCAGTCGATCCGTATCGTCGAGCTGAACACATCCAAGGCGTTTTCATCGCTCTAGCATGCCTCTATCAAAAGTTATTTGCGAAAAACTGTTAGATACCATTCGTGACCTAAGATGACCTCAGGGCATAAACAGGGGTCACGGACACCATTTTCATGTTCAGTGTGTCTAAACCACTTGTAATTCAGTGTTTGGGAGTGTTTATAATGTCTTTCGTCCAAAAGAGGCGCATTTCAATTTTCTCCCATTGACTTATAATGGGGAGGTCGCAAAATTGACCTGATAGGTCACCGATATCAAAATTCTGAGATATACATTTTGTACATGCTATTGCTCTTAGCAATCGCTGAAAGTTTCAAAGCGATCGGTCACTCGGTGTAGCTATGACAGACATTGAAACTTTTTATGAGGTGAGGTCACTTCAAGTGACCTGGTGACCTGACCTTGAATGACCTTGGTCTGAAATTTTAACATCATGTGTAGAATTGATGTATGATAAGGTATACCAAAAACGGCGGCGCTCCGCGCCGCCGTTTTTGAGATATTTGCGAAAAACTACAAGGGGGGGGTGTTCAAACACCCCGCAGCAGGGCGCGGGTTAACCCGCGCCCCACTGAGGGGCTATTTATAGCCCCCCTCCCGTTTTTCTGCAATAACTTCCAAACCGCTTGACTTTATTTATTTGTTTATTTATTGAACGTCTTTGGACCATCCACAGGAGCCGTGGCTATTCTCAGTCCAGTGTCACAATCGCTGAACAGTA